CGCTGTGCCTGCTGATTCACATCTAAGATGAGCCCCACTTTACACTTGAGAGTAAATCAAAACGACACCCCCTAAAACAACTCATTCCCACTCCCGGTGCTCTCCCCGGGTGTACGCCGCCCTAACGGCGTTTTCTGAGCGGGACTCTGCCATGAGTTTTTCTTGAGCAGCAATCTTTATGAATGCAGATCACCAGGCCTTTCTTCCGCGGTGCCGCTGGGCTGGCGGGTCTAAACCTTGAGCCTTTATGTTGGGAGAGAATGCATGCACGTCCAGGAAGGTGAGGTGTGGAGCATCCTAGGAGCGGAAGATTGCGATTCTCTGTCCTGGGTGTCACAGGGTCCCAAGTGCATCGCCCCAGTCCAGTTTGGACAATGACTAGGACGGGGGTGGGGGACAGCGTGTGGGTCCCAGGGCGGGGGCTGGGCGGCAGAGCGGGGCTGGTGAAGCCCAAAGTGCCCCAAGGAAGCGCGCGCTGGCTGAGGACTGAGGACGGCTTTGTGGGATTTCCCGAGGAAACGGACCCAGGCCAGTCTCCAGCTTCCTCGCCTCTCACCCTTTCTTTCTTTTTTTCTGGGGCTGGATTGTGGGGCGTGGAGTGTGGGGGAAGGAAAGCAAGCCGTTTGATAAGCACTGCAGCCCCCTTTCCTCTTTTGAATTGCACGTTTACTGCCAGAGCGCCGAGGAGTTCAGGGTGAGAGGGGGTCGTAGGGGAGGGAAGAAGACCCACCTCCCCCGCCCCCCTGCAGCCGGTAGTGGAGGAAAGCTGTCTTTCTGGAGTCGGACTCCCGCCCAATCCCATCCCCGCGCAAAGGCGAGGCGACCCTGCCGCTTTATAATTGACAAGGGGCTTCCAAGTGGCCCTTTGTAATTTGATGTCATTTTACAACCCAAAGGACTTCCCATTCATCACCTAAGATGCTCTGTCACGCAGGGCTCCTTCTGAGGGGTCTTGGAGAGGGGTGCAGGCCCCGTGCGCACCCGCCCTCTCCAAGCTTGAACGGCCCTGGGCGCCAGAACCCAGGGTGAGGGGGAGACCCCGTGGCCTGGGCAGCAAAGGTGTCGATGGGGCCCTGGCCTCATCGTCCCCGCGCCTGCGCATACCCGGGCCAGCGAAGGCCTTTTAATTTCGCAGGGGATGGGACTAGGGCACCAAAAAGTTCGTCCAGAGGGCTCCTAGCTCCTGTTGCTGGCCATTTTGTGGCGCAGTGGTTAAGCGCTCAATTGCTAATGGCAGTTGGCGGTTTGAAGCCCCCCAGCGCGGCAGGGGAGAAAGATGTGACAGTCCGAGGCGGGGAGATCACAGCCCAGAGCTCCCAGGGGGCCCCTGCATCCTGTCCTGCCGGGTGGAGCGGAGAAGAGTAGCTTGGCTGAGTGTTCTGACCACTCTGGTCTTTTCACCCTGAAAATGTACATTTCTCCTTCAGTGTTGGGATTCTAAATTCGGCCCAGGAGGCAAGCCCGCTTGCCTCCCACACCCACGCCCGCACCCCAGACCTAGTGCGGGCCTGGTTCTCTGCGAGGCTCAGAGCCTGGGCCTGGTCACCAATTCAGCTGGACGAGGACTGCAGCTCCGGTCTCCCTGCGCGGGGTGCGTAGGGCAGACAGGAGAGGGGAACAGACGTCTGGGGAAGGGAGCAGATTTTAACCGAAACGTGTGTGTGTGTGTGTGTGTGTGTGTGTCTCGAAAGGCACGCGGTTCAAATCCACCAGCTGCTCCATGGAAGAAGAGATAGAGCATCTCCTTTTGTGTGATTTACTGTTTCTGAAAACCCGCTGGAGGGTCTGCTGTGGTCAGATCCAGCTCCAGGGCACAGGACAACGTAATAACAGGGGAGGGTCTGTCAGCTGTGAATCAACCCCGGCTCACAAGAACGAAGGTGGAGGAGTCAAGGACTGACACACTCCTTGTAACTAAAGTCAGCTGACTCTGCCCAATGTTCTGGGGCCTACTTCTCCAGCTCCAGGTCCTCGGGGCTCCCCTCTGTCCACTCCCTTTTCAAGCCTGGACTCCAGCCAGTGCGTCCCCCGCACAAAGCCCCCTCCTGGCCCAGTAGCTGTAAAATCTGCTTCAAGAGCATCTCAGGTCCCTATCCTTTTTCAGTTTAGGAAACCCAAGCTCCGTTTCCTTTTCGCTCCGGCCGCTTCTCTCTCTCTGTCAGGTCACCTACATTTCTTGATTCTGTTTCTGAATATTTACAATGATGGAGAAGGGCCAAGGGCACGGTCCCCGCCGGCTCCTGCCCTTCGCCATACCTCGCAGCTGCAATTTAAAAACACATAAAAATTCTGCCCCCTGCATTCTGGGGTTTGATGACGGACGATGCCATTTGTCCGCAAAAATATTAAAATTCCCGTTTGCAAAGACAGAAACTCGGAAATGCTGCAGAAGGGAGAGTGAAGTTTTCTTATTTAAGTGCGAGGTTTTGCCCCAATGACAGGAATAAAACAAGAAGGACCACGCCGGAGTAAAAGGAAAGAAAAAGAGGGAGCCTACAGGCCGGGAGCGAAGTCCTGGCGGAGGCCGATAAATCCTTGAGCTTTGAGCACCCCGTGCTCAACTGGACTCCAGACCCATCTTCTCTCAGGGCTCAGATTGTCAACAAAGAAACAAACAGCAGCAGTAACAACAAAACAGGAATAATAACATTTTCCACCCACTGCGCGGGATTCCGGTAAAAAGGGTCTAAAACCAAGGTTGAAACCAAGCACTTAGGTGAGCAGACCCACCACGCAAAAGGTCCCATTTTACGGATGACATTAGCCAGTGCCAAAGGACAGAGAGGCGCGTGGCCTGCACAGATCTTTGTCCCACCCCGAGCAAGCCCCCCCTACTCCCCGGTCACTTTGGGGGGTGGATCAAGAGGACAGAAATAAGCCAAGTCCTTTCCTCAGGGTCCTTCTGGAAGCTTCTCAAGCGGCTCTGCGGAGCGGCATCCGCACAGATGGAAATCCCAGCCCTGGTGACAGAGAACGTCGCCATCTGCGCGTCCACGTCCACTGAGCGCACTGGTCTCACGGTCGCTCCACGACCGCTGTGTCCTCACCACCCGCGCCAGCTCGACGTCCAGCTCGCTGACGGATTCGGAGGAAAATCACACTGGAACCACCAGTTCAGCAATTTCCTTCCTTCAACAATTAGATATTATTTATGAGTTTAACCAGAAAAATGCCTATATGGTTTTAAATTTAATTTAACAAAAAGTCAACGCTGGGTCGGCGGACCAATTCTTTCTTCGGACAGGATGGAGATGCCTTTGTTATTAAAAATAGCAAACAAACGAGGTGAGGACGACGGCAGATAGAAAGGATTGCCTGAACAGATATGCTGAGCCACTTTTTAAAGTCATATATCTAAAAGATTACGTTTAAAAAACAGACTTTTGCAGGGAACTAATTAGCTTACTGGTAAAATAACTAATTTTCTGCCGGTTATCCCTCAAATTAAATGTAGTAATAATTAAAAAAGAAAAATGTAAAGAAAATCGTTCTGTGACTTAGCGACCTGGTATCGGTGGCCCAATGAGCGGCTTTGCAGGTCCAGGCTGAAGGGCGAAAGCTCCGAAAATACTTGCAGATCTGTGCGCTCATCAGGCGCGGTGGGCAAGGTCGCGACTGCTTCTCCAGCAGGAGAAGGTGGGGTGCGTCCTACCCCGCTAGAGAGGCTTTCTGGAAGCGCAGTCTTCCTGGCGACGCTCAAGCGTCAAGACCATTTCTGATCCGTCCTGTCGACCACACGCCCCGTCCGCTGGTCTCCGGGTCCCCGAGAGACGCGCGCCGACCTCTCCCCGCGGGCGCGGTGCCCTTGGCTTTGGCGCGAGGCCGACCCGGCTGCAGCGAAGGCCGCGCGGGCGGACTGTACCCGGGCGCGGGGAGGAGCGCAGGGGTGCAGGAGGCGGAGGGCGCGTCTCAGCCAATCAGCGCGCACACCGCCTGCCCGCCGGCCAATCAGTGGCTAGGAGCGGAGGCCCCGGCGAATAATACTCGGAAGGGGCGCGGAGGCCGGGACTGCGGCGAGGGGCGCGGCGCGGCGCGGACCGGGAGCGCCGCCCGCCCGGGGACCCGCGCTCGCCGGCGTTTCCGGCCACCCCAGCTTGGAGGACACCGAATGCAGCTTCCATGAGTTGACGTGCCGGCCTGCGGGGACCGATCGGAGCTTCAGGCCGGCGATGCTAGGTCGAGGCGGCTGAGGACTTCGCTGTGCGCCCGCCCTTCCCGGCCGGTGGCCTCCGGCTGTCACCCCGCAGCACCCCGCCGGCTGCCTGCGGCCGGATCCAGTGCAGGCCTCTGAGTGCTGGTGAGCGCAGCGAGGGTGCTAGGGTGTCGGGGTGGGGTCAGGGGGCGTGGGTCTCCGGTTCTCCCCTTTTCTCACTGTGGTTGACGAGAGGGCTGGACCCCGCTTCCCTCTGGGTCCCGGTTATGGCAGGAAGCCTTTCGTTTTCAGCTGCTTATTTGGGATGGAGAGATGAAAGGCTTCGTGCGTGATAGGCTTGGGGAGTCGGGGACCTTGGGAAAGGACAAGCTGGTGATGGTGCTGTCAAAGGCCCTGGGCGAAGGGGAAATAATCTGTACAGCTTTATATCCTCCCGGGGTCAGCTTTAGATTCTAATGACGTCTAGGGAAAGCTGTCAAGTGTGTGTGGGTCTGGGGGCCCCTCGTCGTTAGACACAAGACTTTGGAGTTTGCGCGAGTTCACCTCCTTAAGGACTTGTCCAAAAAGCGCGCGTAAAGCGAGAAGACGGCGGTTCAGGGTCCGGTGCTCACTGCACACTTGTAGTTAATAAAAGAAATTCCAGTTGGTTTGGGGATCCGGGCAAGGCCCTAAAAAGACAAAAAAAAAAAAAAAAGGCATGTGGGCCCCTCATGTAGATGGAGAACCGAGACGACCCTGAAGCCGAGGCGGCAGGCCTGCTTGCAGATCTTGGGGTTCGGAACAGTCCTGGCGCGAGTTGTGGGTCTTGGGTGTCTCTCCAGAACTCAACCCGAGGAGGCGCGGAGTCATGGCGGAGCGGCAGGCGGGCCCGGCGCCCGGGGACTGGGAGGTCGATGTGGAGAGCTTGGAGCTGGAGGAGGACGGCCACAGGGCGCCACCACCAGCCGCCGAGGACGGCGAGGACGACGAGGAGGAGGAGGACGAGGAGGGAGACGCGGAGGAGGAGGGCGACAGCGAGGCGGCGGCTGACCCGGGACCTGGGGCGCCGCTCGGGCAGGACCTGCAGGGAGGGCGCCCCAGGCAGTCATCGGCGCCGCAGGCCGCGTGCGCCCTGGCCGGGCCCCCGGAGCGCAGCGCTGCCGCCGAGCCGCGCAAGCTGAGCCGTACGCCCAAGTGCGCGCGCTGCCGCAACCACGGGGTCGTGTCCTGCCTCAAGGGCCACAAGCGCTTCTGCCGCTGGCGTGACTGCCAGTGTGCCAACTGCCTGCTGGTGGTGGAGCGACAGCGCGTCATGGCCGCCCAGGTGGCGCTCCGGAGGCAGCAGGCGACCGAGGTGCGCATCCCTAACCCACCGGGGCCACCTGGGAAAGGGGGCAGGGACTCGACTCTGTGGGGGCCATAGGCCTGGTCACCAGTTAGCGAGGGTGGGTGCGGTGGCCTTGCTGGGAAATCGACACAAAAGATGGAGAGGCCTGGCAAGTGTTTCGGCTCATGGTAGACATTGTGGGGAAAGTGCTTGTTTTAATATTTAGACATTTATTTTGGTGGCCATGGTGCGGACAGCCGATCAGCTGGTGCGATGCCCAGCTCCAGGCGGCTACAGCAAATGCACTGAGCTGGCGCGGTCACCAGGCCTTTGGGAAGAGCGCAATCAGATGCCCATTTTACAGATGAGAAAAATAGTGACCGAGAAAGGAGCGTCACAGCTCAAGGCCACACAGCCAGAGCGGGCCTTTATGGTCTCCAGAATGACCCGAGAACCCTGGGCAAGGGAGTCAGCTGCTCCCCGCGAATGCTGCACGGGGACCTGCGGGGGTCTTTAAGGGGCACTTGCTTATTAAATCCAAGATAGTGCAGCCCCTGCTTCGGACGTGGTTTCGGTGCTTCAGCGCGACCCAAGGCAGTGACCCCAAAGGAAAGCGAGCACCCTGGAGCCAAGCAGCAGCCGTATCTATCTGCTCAGGCACTCGGCACAGAGAGGCGGCCCACGCCGCGTTCTCTCTGGATGCGTGCGATATTGCGGGCCGCGAATCCCACCGACTCGGCAGTGACAGCTGGGAGCAGATGTCCTCCTGTTCAGAGCTTCCTGCAGACCCGGAGAATGGCTTTGCGTGAGGGCTAGGCCTGGCCGGGAATCTGGGGAGATAGGGACTCGCACACCCCGCTTGCGCGCTCTCCAGTCCCGCCGCTTCACTTCGGGAGAAACTAGCGGTAGCTCAGACCAACGGCTGGCCCGGGTCCTCCGGGTTCTACTGGCGAGCGCCAAGTTCCTGCGTCCTTTCTACTTTGGGTTCACCTCCACCAGGGCTCCCCAACTTTCCTGGGGACAGCCCTCTGCCTAAAGCAGAGGTGGATCCGGTGGACCCCCGAGAAGGCCGAGGCGCTGCTTCCGCGATTGGGACGCAGCCTCCAACTTCTTGCCACAGGCGAGTGCGCGCCCCCAGCATGGACACCCAGAGCCTGCGGATTCCTGAGCACTGGCTCTCTCCCTCTCCTTCCTTCTTGCTCGCCTTTTCATGAAGCTACTGTTGATGCTGTTTCTGTGTTTATAGGATAAGAAGGGACTTTCTGGGAAACAGAATAATTTCGAGCGCAAAGCCGTGTACCAGAGGCAAGTCCGAGCGCCCAGCTTGCTGGCCAAAAGCATTCTCGAAGGTGAGCAGCGCCCACCTGTCGGCGTGTCCTTGCACCCACGTCCTCTGAGCTTGTGGAATAGAGTTTTGTTGGGAAGTTATCTTCTGGGAAGGAAGCTAGACCCCGGAAACCCCTCACTCACCTGCCAAGGGGTTGCTGTCCCTCCTCTAATCACCTCGTTGGGGACTGATGAAGGGCTGTCTGATTAAGAGGTAACTAATGGGTTAACGCAGTGTGTGTGCAATTGGCCTTGAGGCAAGTGGAGAGTTAAACTACTAGGGATTGGAGAAGATGTCTCCAGTCCAACAAACGTAACCCTAGTCCTCTGCCATGGATGCTGCGTCCAGGCCTGATGCGTGGAGACTAGTTCTTCTCCCAAGAAAGAGGCTAGTGAATTTGAACTGTTGACCTGTGTTTTAGCTGCATCAAGTGAAGTAGTTACGTGAGGAATTTAGCCTATGAGCCCTAAAGTTTGTTGCCGCTCTTCCTGGGACTGCTATCCTCCTTGGATTATCTGGGTAAAGGGCTCAACACTTCATTTTAATGTTTGATAGTAGAGTCAGAGACTCTGAAAAAGGTTTTGACTCAGTAGAGGGTCGCTGCTGAGGTTTCCTCACCCCCATTAACCTCCTTTGCTTCCAAACCACGCAGTCTTTAGTAATGTTGAGTGTCTGGCAAATAATATGTGATAGAGTTGTAAATGGCTTAAATGTAATCTTTCCTGGTTTGCATGAATACTAACAACAAAATTGTTTTGCCATATGAATTGCTACATGAATTACAGTGTAATTAGTTACAACATTGTTTGTAAATACATGTAAGCCTTTTACATTTTTTATCCTTTTAATTATTACTTTATTATCAGAAAAGGTATAAATTCACAGATATGACTTATCACAGTATTGTAGCTAAAACACACACACAAAACACCTGACAAAATCCATTTCTCTAAAAACACAGGCTCCCATGAAAATCCCATGATTTGAAGCATCGTTGTAGTTGGGTAATGATGTCGGCTGCGTCCAGAGCTCACTAGGAGAAGGATCCCAAATAAGTTAGCATAGAATTTTCCATTTGTAGCTGTCTTGATACATGTAAGCTGGGTTTACAAAAAAAAAAAAACCAAACAAACACAAAAACAAAAAAAAACAAAAATCCACCCACCAAAAACCCCAACCAGTTATAACTAACTGCAAGGACATTTTAAAATAATCCATAAAATAATCCTGCTGAAACACTGCAAATTAAAAAACTGTATGGGTTTTAGCGTCTACAAGATGCCATCCCAGTGTGGTCCACACCTCCCTCAACCTGCTGTAGACACCACTGGCTTCATTCAAGCAAAACAGGTTAGGCTTGCCCAGTGTGACATTTCTGGGTTCCTCCCCCCTCATGTTTTCACTTCCTCTAAAACAGCAGTGGGAAATGCTCTTAATTGTTCTTAAAATGTTACTGATCCTGTCTATCTGGGCATGAATTTTATTTGTTGATCTGCTAAATCAGAAAGGAACCCTTCTGTTTTCTCTAATCACTGTTCTTCATCGGATCCTGGCTGCAAAGTCAGCTTTTCCACACAGGAAGCCTTTAAATTCTGTTTTATTTCTTTGTGTGACTTCTGAATTGAGTTGGTTCCCGGCAGGTTTTCAGGTTTGTTTTTCAGTCTCACCTCGAGCTTGTATGACTACCCTTGGAGTGGGTTCGCTTGCTTTAAGAATGAATTTGGTTACACACTAGGCAAACAGATTTACAACCTTAGGGATTGCACTGATAAATTGTACCAGAGCAATTTGAGAAGTGGGAGGAGGACATGCAATCATAAATTCAAGTCAATAACTTCCTGGCAAAACTTGCCATAGAAATGGAAACATTATTTTTCAAATTCTATTTTATTTGCAAATCAGCCTTGTGGATTGTCACTGTGTACACAGCAATATTACAATGGTTCCTTCAAACAAATTCAACACTGCTGAATACTTTGGGGATGATGAAATATTCAAAGTGTGTTAAGCTGCCAGGAATTCTATTTACGTTACACTAGTCTTTGTTTTTGACTTTGCTGCTGTTCCTGAAATATGCAATGACTTTATCTGGGTACTAATGACCACCTGCGCACCCATTCTGGGATCCGGCCAACGTGCTTAACACTTGAGAAAAAAAATGTTTTAGGCCAGTTATTTTCAGTATAGCAGGAGATTCTCCCCTTGCCTGCATTCCCCCCCCCACCCCCAACACCCCGGCTGGTAGTTAAGGGAGGAACTTGGTTAACTGGCAGGATGAGTCTGACTAGTTAACAACTTTTCAATGTTCTATGCTTCTCTGTTCCTTAAGTCTTGTTTTTCTTGGTCTCCTTCCTAATCTCTTTTAACTCTCTTTCTTTCTCTTTTTTTCTCTCCCTAGTTCTCCTTGGATTATCCTACACCTGTAACTGTGTATCTAGTGAGCCATCTTTAAACGTAACAGTGACAGCAGCTGTAGGTATAGACATCTTTTTGAATAACAGCAAAGGAATGACATGGGCTATAAAATGTAGTAAGAGGAGCAACTTTGTGTGTTAATATACAGGGACTGGCACCAATTCTGTAACTTCAGTGGATAAAGTCAAAGCAGACAAATTTCTTTTTTTAAAATTAATTTTAATGAAAGCTTAGAGAAACTTAGGGTTTCCATTCATTCATTGTTGCACTTTTAAAGCAGACAAATTTTAGAACAACAAAATTACAATACCAATATCCTTCCTCCCAAAGGGTATAATTTGAAATTGTAGTTATAGATACTTATGTGTTCCATACAACCATGTGGTGATAAACCAAGCCAAGCTAGATCCAGTGCACTGTCTTTGAGTTACCCCTGAAGCACAGCAACCCACGTGTTACAGAGTAGAGTTATTTCATAGGGTTTACATGTTGGACTTTGGATCACAAAGTTGCCAGTTTGAGTCTACCTTCTACACTTTGGGAGAAAGATCAGACAATCTGTTCCTGTTGAGATTTACAGCTTTGGAAGCCTGCTGGAGGCCCATGAGTCCAGACTTGACAATAGTTAATTTAGGTTTTGGGTTTGTTTGTTTTTTTTTTAATCTTGATGGAAGCAGATTGGCAGATCCGTCTTCTAGGGTTCCACTGGGTGGGTTTGAACTGCCAGCCTTTAGGAAACCACTTGTCCCATCCAGGGACCTACATGTTGGTGACCCAGAATAGAAACAATTGTGCTATTTCTGTGCATCTGTTTCTGTTGCTTCATACATTGACTGATTTTCCTTGCATCCTGCCCCTTAGGCTACCGCCCCATGCCCCCTGAGACCTACCTGGGAGGGACCTCACCGCTGCCTCCCCCTGTAAGTGACAGAATGAGGAAGCGACGGGCCTTTGCAGACAAAGAGCTGGAGAACATTATGCTGGAGAGAGAATACAAAGAGAGGGAGATGCTGGAGGCCTCCCAAGCTGCTGCCTTGTTCCTGCCCAACCGGGTGGTCCACGGGCCAGAGTACAATTCCTACAAAAACCTCTACAGCCTCAGCCCCGGGGATCCCCCCAAGGACTTCTGCAACTTCCTGCCGGCATGCCTCGATCTCACCATGCAGTATTCCGGCTCTGGGAACATGGAATTAATTTCCTCCAACGTCAGTGTGGCTACGACCTATAGGCAGTACCCTGTGTCCTCCAGGCTTCTGGTCTGGCCCAAGTGTAGCCCCATCAGTGACAGCCTCCTTTACCAGCAATGTCTGGTGAATGCCACCACATCTGTGCAAACTCTGAGGCCGAGCGTGGGCTGGGATGCTAAGGGGACACGCCTCCCCGATGCTCTGAGCCCACAGGACATGATGCCGGCCAAGCTGGAAGGCTCGCTGGTGCTGCCCCCCACTCCTGAGGTCCAGGCCCCAAGAGGTGACCTGCAGGCCCACCAGCAGGTGCCCGAGAGGTCTGCCTTCACCCCGCCCCGACGGAATTTCTCTCCTATGGTGGACTCGAACCCTCTGGCTGCCCCAGCACCAGCCTTGACCAAGATCGGCAAAGACAGCTCTAGCCATACCATGCCACTCAAACACAGCCCTTTCCACTCTTTGTTCCAGCAGATGCTTCCCGACAAAGCAGCGCCCGAACTGAAAACGCCACTTGCCAAGGAGGCCTTTGAGGAGGGCGCGATGAGGCACAAGGAGGGTCCCATCAGGGAGAGCCAGGAGTACACGTTTACGATAGACAGATGCACCAAAGACCTTTTAGTAGCCAAGCAGGTGGGGACAAAGCTGTCCGTGAGTGAGCCCCTGTCATTTTCAGTGGAGTCCATCCTCAAGAGGCCATCAGCGGTCATCACTCATGTCTCCCAGTGAAAGGCCTTGAGAACAGAGAGCTAGGGCGCCCACTCCCTCTTCTTGGGGGTTCCTGTCAGTCATTCTTATTGTTCTTCAAGCCAAGATGTTTGTACAAAGAAATTTGTAATGTAAATGGTGATGATTTTTTTAAAAAAAATCTGCATATTCACCTGCATGTACGTTTGTTTCCTTGTCCCTGTCAGTCTATTTAAATGCAAAGCTGGAAATGACTTTCGTGCACCAGTTAGAATGTTTTGGGCTTCCCACGACATTTCAGAGGGCAATAAAGTTGACACTGTCTCCTAGAGGACTTTCTGTTCGCTCAAGTCCATGGTCATCTCTGTGTGGGCAGAAGGGCCTGTGTCCTTGCTGTGTTCAGATCTTCCTACAAGCCCGTGTGTAGTTGTTTTAAAGTCGTGATAGACAATGTCATTTCCACGTTCTTCACGTTTGGTGACATTCGTGGACTCTTTCCACTGTGTTCTTTCTGCATCACCACTGTCCATGCTCAGCTTTCCCGGCCTCCTGTAGTAGTGCTCCTGTGGGTGTGTCAGTCGCCTTCCTGGTGAGGTAAGGAGCCTGGGGGTGCAGTGAGGTACGGGCTGGGCTGCTAGCCGGAAACCTGTCAGTTTGAATCCACCTGCCGCTCTGCAGGCGGAAGATGGGGCCGTCTCCTCCTGTGATGATTTGCAGCCTGGGAACCCGACGGAGGGTTCCTATGAGTTGCAGTCAACTGCACAGCAGAGGCTTGGTTTGTTTTCCCTCGTTGCGTGGTTTTGAACTGAAATGCAGTCTCTTCCTGTTTACTACGGTGGGAGCACGCGGCCCCCTCTTTGTCCCTGGGATTACCTGGTGGGTTTCAGCATCAACCTTTTAGTTAGCAGCCCGATGCTTAACTCACTGTGCCACTAGGGAGCGTTTCTTGACTAAAATAGGGCTAAATAAGAACAACACGCACGTGTTCTGACTCACCTACAAATTCCATAGAAAGACGTAAATGTAGAAACCGCTGTCATTTGTAGCCTGTCTGTGGAAGGGAATCAAGTTTAATGCGCCATTTATCCGCTGACCCAGGTTCTTGAAATGAACGTCTTCTAACTCCTGGGTGTAGCCTCTCCCTGTTGGGGTGTGTATGTTGGACTTCCAGCCCCCTTGCTTTGTTCCACGTTCTGTGGTTTCAGATTATTGGGTTATGGAGCCTTGAGTTAGGCAAATGTTTGTGTTCACTACTTACCAAAAGGTTGGTGGCTCAAATCCACCCTGTGGTGCATCAGAAGCAAATCCTGGTGTCCCAGTCTCATAGCTTATAGCCACTGAGGACCCTATGCAGCATGGTTCCACTCTGACCCTCACGGGCGGGCTGTGAGTCAGAGACAGGCAGACGGCGCTGGTTAGAAGTCGCAGAACAGCGGCCTCGCAAGTTGAAAGCACGGGGGTGCCCAGCCCCTTCTGGTGCCCGGCTGGGTTAGCGGATGCATTTGCTAAAACTGAGTGGCACCCCACACCCAGAGGCAGGCCCAGTTACAGTTCAGTCCCCGTGAGGCAGGAAGGCTGTGTGTCCCCATTTCTGTCAGTCCTCCACACTTACAGTGCAGATAAAAACATTCTTTATTCAAATTGCTGCAACTGGTGGCTGCTGAAACCAGCAGAGGAGGGATGACTTCTGGGTTCTCGCCCTCCTCCTTCCTGGCTTACTTTTGAGTTAAAACAACATACATTTTTCTCCCCATGCTCTGTAGGCTGGAGGTCAGGAATCGAGGTGGGGGCAGTGCAGGCTCCCTCCAAAGGCTGTTGGAGGGACCCTACCTCAGCTCTGCCAGCACCTGGCGGCCGTGGGGGACCCTGGCTTCCTTGGCTTGTAGCCGCTCCTTCCAGACTCTGCCTCTGGCTTCACGTGATTTTCTTCCCTGCATGAGTCCGTGTGTCTCAAGGTGTCTCTTTCTGTACAGAGTCAGTTGTTGTTGTGTGCTGTTGAGTTGGAACCGACCCATAGCTGAACCCTCAGCAGGTTTTCGGAGGCAGTAAAATCACACAGGGGGAGAGTGCACGTCTTTCTCCCATGGAGCAGCTGGTGGATTTGAACCATAGACCTTTGTGTTGGCCATGGGAACCTGATCCAGTATGACCTCACCTTGACTTGAGTATACCTGCAAAGACCCTGTTTCTAAATAAGTTCTCTCTGTTTTAGTTAAGGCATTTGGCTCCTTAACTACGTGGTCAGTGGTTCGAACCCATGAGCTGTTCCATAGGAGAAAGAGGAAGCTTTCTGTTTCCATAATGATTTACAACCTTGGAAATCCGAGGGGGTGGTTTTACGCTGTCCTGCTGCGTCATTAGGAGGCAGAAGGAACCTGATGGCTGTGGGCTTGTTCTTTTTTTTTTTTTTGTAAGTTCAGGAGTCCCTGGGAGGTAACAAACGGCCGATGCACTTGGCTGCTCACAGAGGAGAGGAAAGCTTGCTACCAGCCTCTCTCAGAAGCAAGGCCGGGCAATCCAGTTCCCTCCAAATTAGCCACTGAACCCTCCACAGAACACAGCTCGCTCTCTCCCGTTCAGTGCGGTCACGAGGGGTCAGAACTGACTCAAGCGCAACACATTTTGTTTTTAAGCAGATTGCTAGCCTCTGGTTTTGCTCAACAAATGTTAACTCTTGTTCTGGATGGGCGATAACATGAGGGTAAGATATTTGTCACCACACTCTGTCAGTTTGTCATACTGTGGTGGCTTGCATGTTGGGTGAGCTGGCAAGGACTTCTTTAAGGGCTAAATAGCAAAGATGTCAGTTTAAAGGTTAAAGTTCACCTGATCCAAACCATAACCTTTTTTAACTGTATCCTTTAACAATATTCTTCTGGAGAGTAAAGTGCACCTGACACAGGCCATGGTCTTTGCAATCACTTGCTATGCATCAGAGAGCTGGACAATGACTAGGGAGGATAGAAGAAGAGTTGATGCCTTTGAGCTGTGGTGCTGGAGAAGAGTATTGAATATACCATGGACTGCTAGGAGAACAAACAAGTTCATCCTGGAGACGTGAATCCAGGCTGCTCCTTGGAGTCAAGGATTCTGAAGCTCCGTCTGACATATTTCGTACATGTTGCAAGGCGGGACCAGTCCTTGGAGAAGAATGTTATGCTTGGTAGGGTGGAGGGACAGTGTAGGAGAGGAAGACCCTAGAGATGAATTGACTCAGTGACTGGGGTAATAGGGGCAGGTATGTCGGAGGCAGTGAGATTGGCATAGGAGGGGTTTCAGAGCTATTGTACATAGGGTCACTATGAATCAGTAGATTGGCACAGGATAGAGCAGGGTTTAGGGCTCTTGTACATAGGGTTGCTATGAATCACAGGCGACTCTATAGCACATAACAACAACAACAATAATGCTTGGAAGTGTGGAGGGACAGTGCAGGAGAGGAAGACCCTGGGTGAGATGGATTGACACAGTGACTGGGGTAATAGGGGCAGGTGTGTCAGAGATAGTGAGATTGGCATAAGAGAGGTTTCAGAGCCATTGTACGTGGGGTCACTATGAATCAGTGGGTGACTGACTCGATGACACATAGCAACAATGGCAACATGCACGTGACTGTTGGACAATGAATGAGGAAGACAGAAGAACGGATGTCTTTAAGTCGTGGTGTTGATGACGCACACGGAATGTGCCATGGATGCCGAAAGAACGAGCACATTCATGATGGAACAAGCGCAGCCTGAGTCCTCCTTAAAAGCAAACATGGGAGACTTTGTCTCACTGGTTTGAGCCCGTTGTCAGAGGGGTACTTCTGGGAGAGCTGTTTTATGCTTAGCAAATGGTGAAGGAGAGAAAGACCCTCACGGAGATGATTGACACGCTAATAGCAACAGTGGACTTAGGGACAGTGGATGCTAGGAGGATGGCTGAGGACCCGGCAAGACTCGGATCTGTTTGTGGTCTTTGCATTTGCTATGAGTTGGAATCAATGTGACAGCATGAAACAACAACAACAACATTGATGACGTACTATGCTTGTCTTTAAAAAGCCTCCCCTTTGTGCCCCAAATCAAGTTCCAAGCTGTCATAATCAGCGTCATACAGACCACCAGAGTCAAAGAGCTAACTTTAAATTCTGTGTGGAGAGAGGCTACCCTCAAATCTGCTGTCACCAAGGTGGCCAGAAGACCAAATAAAAGCGAGAGAAGACCAGTCGTTCAGCAGTTTAAAGCAAAATTTTCTTGCTCCTGCAAACATTTAAAACAATCTGAGACGCTTGTGCTCCTGGTGACCTCAGGGAAACCCCTAGGGATTCCCCGAATGGGTGCTTGAAATTAGCATCCATTTCACAAACACACAGGACGCCAACACTTAGCTGGATGCTTGCACGATCCTTGTAAAATAACACTCGGTTGTGTCCAGGCAAATGTCTTTTTCCACCCCTGGAAAAGCCAGAGCGAGTGGAAGTTTGCCAGAGGAACAGAGAATAAAAGCAGGTGGGGTCTCAACGTGACTTCAGGAACTGCTGCGGGTGAACTTGAAGACAACATTTCCCAGCCGCGTGGGGTGTCCCAGTGTCACCCAAGATTCTGCTCAAGCCCCCCTTCCAGGCTCGCCCGCACTGACATTTGTTCTTTGTTCATGTCAGGATTTTTTTGGGGCGCCAAGTGTTGAATGTAAGTTTAGCATTGCGTCAGACAGCTTCAGAGGTCAAGAGGAAAAACACCTAAGAATAAAATCTCCTAAACAAAAACTCAGCAGAGCTTCCTAATGCAAACATGGCTTTCCTCATGTTCTCTTTGAGTGCACCTCAATAATTACATGTGTCAGTTTTCACTTTCTGAGGGCAGTGGACATTTTGGGCTTATTTTCTGTCTTCTGTATCATTTTAATCCCATTAAGTCAATCCAGTTGGCTGTGGGTATTAGTGTCTTTTCTCATGTTACTGTGACTGGAATTTTATTGTTCTTGAACATTTATGAGAGGCAAGGCTTTCCCTGACAAATTTATTAGTACACTGTGTTAACTCTGCACTAATAATGAGT